ATGTATTCACTTTCAATTTGGGGAACCACATTCAAGCAGGGTGTTCTTTACCACGCTTCTCTCTCTCTCTCTCTCTCTCTATATATATATATATATATATATATATATATATTTAAAGATATTTTTGTAGGTACAAAATTTAATGATGTGTGTAATTTTTTTGTTTTCCACCTATTCTTACTGTACATTTCTCTGTTTTAATTTTCAATCTCCCGTGGAAGCCTGACGAGCGGGAGCGAAACCGGTTGCCCCCCCTTGTTGTTGATGTTTTTTTAAATTTTTTTTTTATTATCTAATACTGTTTTAATATGTCTTGTAATATTAAATTTTATACTTTTATTTCGATCATATATATATATATATATATATATATATATATATATATATATATATATATATATATGAGTAAATTAAAGTCAAATGAAAAAATCCAATAAAATCTTAATAATTATCTAATTTATATTTCGGGTACGAAAATAAATTCAGCAAATATAAAATCCAAATAGTCTTAAAGAGAGATGTTCATTTCTTTTTAAATAAGTGAGTCTTGCTTTACTGCTAAGACTTCTTGTAGCTAAGTAGTAAAGCACACTTGATTTGAAGGTGGTTGCCTCGTTTGAAGGGGATGCAGGCTAAATTCCTGTCGAGATGCACATTTTTCTTTATAAGACGTTCGATCACTAGGGCGGTAGATATTTGCTTCGCTTTTATCATTGCAGATTCTCAGTTATTTGAGTTATAATCCTTGGTTCCAGCAGTCAAGACTTTCACAGCGTGAACACGTCATGCCACATCCATTGAGTCGACTCGTTATCATTCCCTTCAAACAGCGACATTAGTGTAAAGTTATTTGTGTAAAGTTACTTGTGCATTAGAAAAAAATGATCAATACATTTAAAAGACATAAATTGTGTACTGTTTTATATAAGACGTTTCCAAAAAGAGTTGCTGCTAAATATGCAGAGTATTTTATAATTATATATATATGTGTGTGTGTGTGTATGTGTATGTATTATAATATTATTATTTAAAAATATGTATTTATCGAAAAACAGCTGTACTGATTATTTAGAAAAAAAAAACTAAAAAAAAAACACAGTAATAAAATTTTGAATAAATACTTAAACCAGAATGAAAAAATAGCGATCCAGAAATAAAAATAAATAATAGTATATATATATACATATCTATATCTATCTATCTATCTATCTATCTATCTATCTATATATATATATATATATATATATATATATATATGAAGAAAAATATACTGAAAAACAAACAAAAATCTTAATATGCGATTATGCTGTTTTGATGTTTAATGTCAACGTCGGATGTTTCGGTCTAATAGACCATCTTCAGGACATATTCATAAAACATAATTAACATAGACCATAAATAATTCAACATGAAAAAGACGATGGACATAAAAGCAATACCAATCCAAACTCAGTTATTTTCAGTTATTTGTTGGGATTGGTCTTGCTTTTATGTCCATCGTCTTTTCATGTTGAATTGTATATGGTCTATGTTAATTATGTATAAACATAAAAATATCTTTAAATATATATATATATATATATATATATATATATATATAATATAAATATTTTTTAGGATATTAAAACAAAAAACATGTTAAAACCCTTACACGATTACAGTCATGTTTCAACACCGAATATGTCTCTCTTCGGGCTATGTCAAAGCACTGGCGAGCGAAAATTTAATTTAATTTCTGAAGTAGAATACTTTAAACAAAGTGGTTGTGGGCTTTGCTGTGATTAACCAATCAAATGTGACCTACGATAGATTCAAACACACCGGAATTTTTAAATATAGGTCATGGCACGAAGTTGTCTGCATATATATCCTAGACAACTTACTTATACAGATACAATTTGTTACAATATTTCATAAGATGCATCGAAGTCTAACATTTAACTTTTCAAATAAGTAAAAGCTAAAATGTGTAGGGAGATAATTTAACACAACGCTAACCAGTTATATGCTTTTTTGGCTTCTTACATAACATTCTGTATTTGATAAATAAAAGGACACCGTTAAACAAAGAGCATCCATATAAGATGTTAATAATACCAACTAATCAATGTAAGATGTTAATATTAACTAAACACCTCCATATCCATATAAGATAATAATCCTAAGCAAACAACAATACAATGCAATATTAAATCAAAATGAAGTATACAAACATAAAGGTAGGCTATGTCTACAATTTACAGTCAATTCACATCTTTGGTTTCTGTCTTTTCAACCCTATATCGGTGTTGAAAAGACAGACGACCACTTGTATCGTCTGCCGAAATAGATTATTCCTTTTCTCACATGAGGTAAACAGATTTTTTTTATTATTCATCATATTGCTCTGTACAGCTAAAATACATCGTGCTCTCATTTTGTGGATCAATTTTAATAGTTTTATATTACTAGAACCCACATGGATTATATACCCACGGAATTTATTTTACCGTTACTATATATATATATATATATATATATGTAATATTTATTCAAATTTATCACATATGCATGTTAATGTTGCAAGTTTGTTTCGAAACAAATTGCAACTTTGGTACTGAGTTTATAAAGTGCATATGTTATATATTTGAATAAATATTTTTAGCACTACTCGGTATTGAGCCCTCTTTTAAGAATAGTGTTTTGGTTATCGGAATTTTATTCCATATGTACCAGCCCTGTACTTGTATATATATATATATATATATATATATATATATATATATATATATATATATATAAATATAAAATTTGTCACTTTGCTGATTAATTTTTTTCATACCTCTACTTTGTGTTATTGTTCGTTTCATTCGTCAGGTGGTTTCAGCAAATAATACAAAAACAAAAACTTTTGGCAAAAAAAACAGTTAAATTAGAAGAAACCCTCAAAAAAATTTTCAAAAATCTAAAATGTAAAGCAAATGAAGATATGAAATATTTAGAAAACCAACCTTCTTGTTAGCACGGTCTCTACCAATTCGCCATCATCAGGCAGTAAATTAATAAATTCTATCCCAAAACACCTTTACATACATAATTATGTCGTTGCTAAAGGGGTGGGGAGAAAGAAGTAATGTGTGGGGAAAATGTATATATAGTAAACTTTCGTTAAATTCAAGGGCTGTCTAAAATTTATGGCATTTTTTTATTCAATTTTCGAAGATGTAAATCAGGCTCAAAATTTTGGATAAACTTAAGTTAATATTTGTTGTAATTCTTCAAGTACTTTCGGCCGTTTTAGTTACTATCAAGAAAAATACGTTATCCTTGTGGCAGGAAAGATTTGGTTCGCTACATCCTGGTATTTTGTACAGCGTTGACATTTGAATCATTTAGGCATATCGGTTAAATCGAGCTAGACGGCATCGGAAAAGAATATATCAAATATTGACGTTGTATTTTCCACGAACCATATTATATTACTGCCTGTCACTTAGTTCCTTAGTTAATCAGTTAGTTAGTACGTCCGATACGTCGCGCCAATATCTCATTATTAATGGACTATTCTATTTTGGTCGCGAGGAAAAACGGAAAAATACATATCAGAGAAACAGTTTTAGTTTCAGTCAGAAAAAGAAAAGTCAAAAATATGAAAGAAACAAAAAAGGACAGAAAAAAACGGGTCATATATAGATAGCAAGAGATAGATAGAGAAAGGAAGGGAGGGAAGGAAGGAAGGGTAGGAGGGAGAAACAAAAAAAGAAAGAGATGAAAGAAAGGAAGACAGAATAAAATAAAGGAAGAAAAGAAAACCAAATGAATGAAAAAAAATCAAGAAAGAAAACAATAAAGGAACAAAAAAAATGAAAGAGATTCCCTGCCAATACCTCATAGATAGAAAAAAAAGAAAGAAAAGATAGAAAGAAAGGAAAGGTATAATGAAAGAAAGAAAGAAAAAAGAAAGAAAAAAGAAAGAAAAAAAGAAAGAAAAGACGAAAAGAAAGGAAGTTAAAATGAAAGACAGAAGAGACAGAAAGAAAGGAAGGTATAATGAAAGAAAGAAAGGAAAAAGTAAGAAAGAAAATAGAAAGAAAGAAGAGACAGAAAGAAAGGAAGGTATAATGAAAGAAAGAAAGAATAAAGAAAGAAAAATAGGCAGAAAGGAAGGTATAATGAAAAAAAGAAAGAAAAAAGAAGGAAAGAAAAAGAAAGAAAGAAAGAAAGAAAAAACCAAAAGAAAGGAAGTTATAATGAAAGAAAGAAGAGACAGAAAGAAAGGAAGGTATAATGAAAGAAAGAAAGAAGAAAGAAAGAAAGAAAGAAAGAAAAGACGAAAAGACGACATGAATGGAAGTTATAATGAAAGAAAGAAGAGACAGAAAGAAAGGAAGGTATAATGAAAGAAAAAAAGAATAAAGAAAGAAAAAAAGAAAAGAAAAGACAGAAAGAAAGCACGGTATAAAAGAAAGAAACAAAAAGAAGAAAGAAAGAAAAAGAAATAGAAGACGAAAAGACAGGAAGTTATAATGAAATAAAGAAGAGACAGAAAGAAAGGAAGGTATAATGAAAGAAAGAAAGAAAAAAGAAAGAAAGAAAGAAAATACGAAAAGAAAGGATGTTATAATAAAAGAAAGAAAGAGACAGAAAGAAAGGAAGATATAATGAAAGAGAGAAAGAAAAAGAAAGAACAATAGACTGAAAGGAAGGTATAATGAAAGAAGGAAAGAAAAAAGAAAGAAAGACAAAAGAAAGAAAAGAGAGAAAGAAAGAAAGGATAATGAAAAGAAACAAAGAAAGAAAGAAAGAAAGAAAGAAAGAAAGAAAGAAAGAAAAGACGAAAAGACGACATGAATGGAAGTTATAATGAAAGAAAGAAGAGACAGAAAGAAAGGAAGGTATAATGAAAGAAAAAAAGAATAAAGAAAGAAAAAAGAAAGAAAAGACAGAAAGAAAGCACGGTATAAAGAAAGAAACAAAGAAGAAAGAAAGAAAAAAGAAATAGAAGACGAAAAGACAGGAAGTTATAATGAAATAAAGAAGAGACAGAAAGAAAGGAAGGTATAATGAAAGAAAGAAAGAAAAAAGAAAGAAAGAAAAAAGAAAGAAAAGACAGAAAGAAAGGAAGGTATAATGAAAGAAAGAAAGAAAGAAAGAAAGAAAGAAAGAAAAAAAGAGAAAGAAAAAACGAAAAGTCGAAAAGAAAGGAAGGTATAATGAAAGAAAGAAGAGACAGAAAGAAAGGAAGGTATAATGAAATTAAGAAAGACAAAAGAAAGAAAAATAGAGAGAAAGGAAGGTATAATGAAAGAAAGAAAGAAAAAAGAAAGGAAGAAAAACAAAGAAAGAAAAGACAGAAAGAAAAGAAGGTATAATGAAAGAAAGAAGGAAAGAAAGAAAGAAAAGACAAAAAGACGAAAAGAAAGGAAGTTATAATAAAAGAAAAATGAGACAGAAAGAAAGGAAGGTACAATAAAATAAAGTAAGAAAAAATAAAGAAAAATAGACAGAAATGAAGGTATAATGAAAGAAAGAAAAAAGAAAGAAAGAAAAAAGAAAGAAAAGACAGAAAGAAAGAAAGAAAAAAGAAAGAAAGAAAAAATAAAGAAAGAAAAGACAGAAAGAAAGGACGGTATAATGAAAGGAAGAAAGAAGAAAGAAAGAAAAAAGAAAGAAAGAAAAGAAGAAAAGACGAAAAGAAAGGATGTTATAATAAAAGAAAGAAAGAGACAGAAAAAAGGAAGATATAATGAAATAAAGAAAGAAAAAGAAAGAACAATAGACTGAAAGGAAGGTATAATGAAAGAAGGAAAGAAAAAAGAAAGAAAGACAAAAGAAAGAAAAGAGAGAAAGAAAGGAAGGTATAATGAAAGAAACAAAGAAAGAAAGAAAGAAAGAAAGAAAGAAAAGACGAAAAGACGACATGAATGGAAGTTATAATGAAAGAAAGAAGAGACAGAAAGAAAGGAAGGTATAATGAAAGAAAAAAAGAATAAAGAAAGAAAAAAGAAAGAAAGAAAAGACGAAAAGACGAAAAGAAAGGAAGTTACAAAGGAAATAAAGACGGGACAGAAAGAAAGGAAGGTATAATGAAAGAAAGAAAGAAGAAAGAAAGAAAGAAAGAAAATACGAAAAGAAAGGATGTTATAATAAAAGAAAGAAAGAGACAGAAAAAAAGGAAGATATAATGAAAGAAAGAAAGAAAAAGAAAGAACAATAGACAGAAAGGAAGGTATAATGAAAGAAAGAAAGAAAGACAAAAGAAAGAAAAGACAGAAAGAAAGGAAGGTAAAAGAAAAAAAGACGAAAAAAAAAAGAAAGAAAGAAAAAACAAAGAAAGAAAAGACGAAAAGACGAAATGAAAGGAAGCTATAATGAAAGAAAGAAGAGACAGAAAGAAAGGAAGGTATAATGAAAGAAAGAAAGAAAAGAGAAAGAAAAATAGACAGAAACGAAGGTATAATGAAAGAAAGAAAGAAAAAAGAGAGAAAGAAAAAAGAAAGAAAGAAAGTATGGAAGGTATAATGAAAGAAAGAAAGAAAGAAAGAAAGAAGAATGGAAGAAAGAAAAGACGAAAAGATGAAAACAAAGGAAATTAATGAAAGAAAGTAGAGACAGAATGAAAGGAAGGTATAATGAAAGAAAGAAAGAAAGAAAGAAAGAAAGAAAAAAAAAAGAAAGAAAGAAAGAAAAGACGAAAAGACGAAAAGAAAGGAAGTTATAATGAAAGAAAGAAGTGACAGAAAGAAAGGAAGGTATAATGAAAGAAAGAAAGAAAATTGAAAGAAAATAAATAAAGAAAAGATGAAAAGACGAAAAGAAAAAAAGTTATAATGAAAGAAAGAAGAGACCGAAAGAAAGGAAGGTATAATGAAATAAAGAAAGAAAAAAGAAAGAAAAAAGAAAGAAAGAAAAGACAGAAAGAAAGGAACAGATAATGAAAGAAAGAAAGAAAGAAAGAAAGACAGAAAGAAATAAAATACAGCCAGAAAGGAAGGTATAATGAATGAATGAAAGAAAGACAGAAAAAAGTTGTAAAGAAAGAAAGAAAGAAAGAAAGAAAGAAAGAAAGAAAGAAAGAAAAACGAAAGACAAAAAGAAAGAAAAAAAAGAAAGAAAGAAAGGAAAGACAGAAAGATAGGAAGGTATAATGAAAGAAAGAAAGAAAAAGAAAGAAAAAAGAAAGAAAGAAAGAAAGAAAGAAAGAAAGAAAGAAAAAGTGAAAGAAGGAAACAAAAAACAAAGAAAGAAAATAAGGAATGAAAAAAAGGAACGCCCTGCCAATACGTCATAAAGAATGGACTATCTCGTTGGGATCACCAGAAAAACGGAAAAGACATATATCAGTGATATTGTTTGGTTTCAGCGAAAGAAATCAAACGTTATTGCCAAGAGTAAGAGATAAAGCTCTCATGTATTTAACGTCTGCTTCAGTGAAATGGTCAATATTAAATCTATACGTTTGTATTCTCATACTTCTTTAAATAATGACTTGCGTTCATAGTTATGATGAACCCAAATATTTAACCATGCAAAAGGGGAATTTCTACGTGGACTTCATAGTCGTTAGCCATCGCAATGAGTTTATTCCGTCATTACCTTAAGAATAATGATTCAACAAAACTTTCAGATAACAGAAGCGTAAAACGTTCCCGGTTATTTCCAGCATCAAATATTTTTTACACACTTCAAGCCTCTCCTGTAATAAAAAAAAAATATTTAACATGTCATCTTTCTTTTGTATAAAAGTGTCTTCTAGAATATTGTGTCTTTCCTTGCAGTGGGTGCAATATATTTGTACGATATTATCTACGGTGGAGTAATGGATAGCGACTTGCATTGAAGAATCGGAGAGCCGAGTTCGATTTCCAGTCAGATCTGTTACATTCACTTACGTGCTAATACCCTTGGGAAAGGTATGATTCGTCATCTTCTCCCCACCCCCAGCTATAGCAGGACAGACCGGGTTCTATAGACTTGGATGGCAACCGGCTTACCGTAGAAAGAAATAGCAACCCAATGCGGGAAAAATCTGCCTCGTCAGTCATGTATCTTTCGATACAGGATCGCCGAAGCGTGTATCACGCATGGCATATAACTGAATCGACGAGCCGAGTTCGAGATCCAGTCGAATCCATTACATTCACTTACGTGCTAATATCCTTGTGCAAAGTATGAACCTTCTTCTTCTCCCCCCAGCTATGGGCAAATAGCAGAACAGACCGGATTCTATAGCCTTGGATGGCAACTAGTCTACAACCGAATGGCAACCTACGGGAAAAAAATCTGCCTCGTCAGTCATATATCGAAAGATATATGATCTCCTAAGCGTGTATCACGCATGGCACATAACTGAATCGGAGAGCCGAGTTCGAATTCTAGTCGAATCCATTACATTCCCTTACGTGCTAATACCCTTGGGAAAGTTATGAATCATCATTTTCCCCCACGCTAAGCTATGGGCAAATAGCAGAAGTGACCGGGTTCTATAGCCTTGGATTACAACCGGTCTACCACAGAAAGAATTGGCAACCTACTGTGGGAAAAAAATCTGCCTCGTCAGTCATGTACGGGAAAATACATGATCGCATAAGCGTGTATTACGCATCGGACATAACTGATTATCCACTATACTGAAAACACCCATCATTGATAATGACTGAAGCATTCGAAAATAGGTAAACAAAAACTTAATAAAACATTTTTTAGTTTAACGCCAATTTTGATTTGCAAGGCAATAAAGCCATTAAGACGCAAGGTGTTACTGTGTGTGTGATAATATAGGAAAAAGAAAACACTATTAAGGAGAGAAAAAAACAAAAAGGACGGGAATGAAGAAGACAGATGATAACGATTGATACTGCATTTATATATTTGAAGATTAAAGTTGTCTGGGAAGCAAGAAGGCAAAAGAGAATTCCGGAAGGGAGAAGCGCGAGAAAGGAAACTTTTTGCGTAGAACTTCCGGTTACATCTAGCCATCTAGCCATCTGGCCATCTAGCCAACAGTAAGATGATCAAACCTTGCCGCCAAACTAGTCCTGTGCTTAATTTAATATAGTCTACATACTGTCTGAAGTTATTAAGCAAATCATATAAACTGTTTGCGACTTGTTAGTCAATCGAACATATGGCGTCCTAAGGGAAACATATTGACTATTCGGTCATTTTATTAGAACAATCATTTAGCCATTACGAAAAAAAATGACTGTATATTTTGTTAACAATTTAATATAATTAGGTTTCACATGTGAGTCTTTAAATATATAAATATACTAGTTTACCCAGGCCGTCCAAAATGATAGCATATTTTGTTAAGTCCTTACTAATATTAGAAGATTTTCACATGTGAGTCTTTAAATATATAAATATACTCGTTTACCCAGGCCGCCCAAAATGATGGCATATTTTGTTCAGTCCTTACTATTATTAAAAGGTTTCACATGTGAGTCTTTAAATATATAAATATACTAGTTTACCCAGGCCGTCCAAAATGATAGCATATTTTCTTCAGTCCTTAGTTTTCACATGTGAGTCTTTAAATATATAAATATAAAGTTTACCCAGGCCGTTGATGGCATATTTTGTTAAGTCCTTACATTATTAAAAGGTTTTCATATGTGAGTCTTCAAATATATAAATATACGAGTTTACCCAGGCCGTCCAAAATGATGGCATATTTTGTTAAGTCCTTACTATTATTAGAAGATTTTCACATTTGAGTCTTTAAATATATAAATATACTATTTTACCCAGGCCGTCCAAAATGATGGCATATTTTGTTAAGTCCTTACTATTATTAAAAGGTTTTCATATGTGAGTCTTTAAATCTATAAATATACGAGTTTACCCAGGCCGTCCAAAATGATGGCATATTTTGTTAAGTCCTTACTATTATTAAAAGGTTTTCATATGTGAGTCTTTAAATATATAAATATACTAGTTTACCCAGGCCGTCCAAAATGATGGCATATTTTGTTAAGTCCTTACTAATATTAGAAGATTTTCACATGTGAGTCTTTAAATATATAAATATACTTTTACCCAAAAATGATATATTTTGTTCAGTCTTTACTATTATTAAAGATTTTCACATGTGAGTCTTTAAATATATAAATATACTAGTTTACCCAGGCCGTCCAAAATGATGGCATATTTTGTTAAGTCCTTACTATTATTAGAAGATTTTCACATGTGAGTCTTTAAATATATAAATTACTAGTTTACCCAGGCCGTCCAAAATGATGGCATATTTTGTTAAGTCCTTACTATTATTAGAAGATTTTCACATGTGAGTCTTTAAATATATAAATATACTAGTTTACCCAGGCCGTCCAAAATAATAGCATATTTTGTTCAGTCCTTACTATTATTAAAATGTCTTCATATATGAATCTTTAAATATGTAGACTGAAATCATTAAGCCTAAAGTTTCACTAAATTTGTTTAATTGAATTTATTGAAGTTATTTGACATATTCTAAAAAAAAAGCCGTTTTGAATTTATTAGGCAAAACCAAAGAATCACATTTTACTTCAATAAAAAATTAATGAAATCATCAAAAAATCATCAATACCAATAACAGAACAAAGAACAAACACAGGATATATTTTTTTGAAACTTTTACATTTTAATATAGTGACTCTTCTTAACAAAGTCAATAGATAATAGATTAATGGCTGTTAAGCCATTAATCTATTATCTATTGACTTTGTTAATTTTTTACTTCAGCAAGTTCCATTTCCGACATGGTAGATTTAATTACTTCCCATAGGTCTGGTTTGTTGTAATATTTTTTGCCACCTTTATGTAACTTCATCACAATTGACCATATACTTTCGATCGGATCCAAGTCAAGAGTTGATGGTGGCCATTTCATTATCTTCTCTTCTGTAAATCTTTTATACTCAAAGAATTCACAAGTAATCTTAGATACATGTGAAGGAGTATTTTCATTCATAAATACACACATCATTTTGAAATTTCGAGGCTTGGAGTTGTACCATACAAAGAAAATCTTTTTCATAAAATCACAATAGTTAGCACTGCTCAATTTTACTCCTTCATCGAATTTAAAGGGTCGAGTAATGGTTTGATCGACAATTCCAGCCTATATCATAAGACTACTGCCTGCTTGTTGTCGTCTTTTAGCCACAAACACGTCTAAATTAGATAAATTCCGTTCTTTGGCCAATCTATCACGTCCATCAAATGCCATTCGATATTCCTCCTTGAAAATTATTTTAGAAAAGTCAATTTTCATGTATTTCTTTGCGCAATTTTGACGCTTTAAAATATTTGCTTTGGTAAGATGATGCTTAGGTTATATTTTTTTACAGATGCCATTTCACAAAGTATTCTTCTGACTTCTTCAATTCCAGCCTTTTCAAAGATCTGAGCATTGGTCAAAATTGATTGTTTCGCTATAACTCGCTTTAATTTACGTTTATCTCGAGGAAGCAAGTTCTTAAATCATTTTCCTTTGCTTCGAATTCTCAACTTACTTATATTTTCAACAGCCTTCTTTATCATTAGATAATCTCTGCAATGCTGCTTTGATATCTCCAATGTGGATATTACCCCACTCAAAAACATTCTTATTTCATCCATTCCTTTTACCCATGTTTTAACATATTATGGACAAAAAGAAAAAAAAGAAGTTTTCATTAAGTTTAAAATGTCTTTACCTAATATTAGTTTAATTTGCATAATAACTTCAGTCAGTGTATTTTCGTAAATTTCAAATATCTTAAAAACTATCCATTAAAATGGCAGAAAATTTAATGAAATATTTTACTAAGGATGGAACTGGTTGTGTTTAAATTTGACAAATATTGGTTAAAAACATTTTGAGTTTTTGAGGTTTATTTCATTTATATAATAAATTCAGACAGGCGGTAGGTATTAAGTAGGAAAGACCCCCAGAAATATTAACATGAAAATATTAAGCTCCGTTAAGGCTGTGGTTAAGTTACTGGAGCTGAGATGCGAGGAAACGCCATTGCAAATTCTTCTTTGTATTTTATCCAGCTCATAATATATAATAGAAGCAACAGACCAGATGCGGTAGTATTATACAAAACATGCAAACATATAAACGCGGTTGTCATTAACGTAATACGCTTAAATATAAACTATAATAAATGTGGAACTCTTTCTTGAGGGACTCTTGGACCTTGTATCAGATTAACAAAAGTAAAAAAAATGCGACGCAAATTTATTGACGACAACATAAATGTTTGTTATGATTCTTTAAGGATTTAATCTTTTCGTGACATATTTTTGTAACTTT